TGGTGTAAGCCTGAGAGGGAGGCTCTCTGTCAACAGAGGAGTACCAAATATGAGACTGGAAGGACTAGAGAGGAACTGATGTAACAGGAATGGGGTGAAATTTAGGTCATGCACACATGTGCAAACAGCAAGAATTTCTGATATAAAGTGAAAAATTAAACTGATACTGGAGAAAAAAACAGACATCCTGAACAATCAGAAGAAAGTTATAAAATGTTAGTATTTCTAGTAGGCCAGGAAAATACTTGCACTTCTGTGGAAGAAGCTGGTAAGACATCTGAAAAAATGATTGAAAAAAAAGCCCAAGAGAGTTTAATTTCTCCCTCCTACGGCATTAGAGGATTAATTGTCAAAAGAGAGAGTAGCTGCTTCAGCCAAACATTTACTTGCCCGTGTATAATTGTCTATGAACCCACTCAGCTAAAAACAAGGTTCCTAGATATCAAAATAATAAGGCTGGTAGTCTCCAACAGGAGGAGTGGGAAACCTGGTTATTTTTGAGGTGGAACTTGTGAAATCTAATAAAGATATTACAGACATGGCTGCCTGCATTGGGAAGGACCAGACAATGGTCAGGAGATCCTGCCTAATGGAATTCCACTCAGATCCAGTTTCTTTGTCATTCCTGCTCAAATGCTGATGTGTTTGACAGGAGCAGCAGCAAGTGGGGGGGGGGAAAGTGACAGTTTCTTGCATAAAGCTGTGGAGCTTTTCCAGAAGCTGGTTGATTTGTCTGCAGGAGATGAACCCTTGGCAGGGTCTCCATCACTGGGTGGTTCTTAACAACACACAGGACGGAATCCTGGCCCCTGTGAAGTTGGTGGAAGTTTTGCCATTAATTTCTGTGAGGCCAGAATTTCACCCTGGGAGTCAAAAGTACATGCATGCTTTCAGAGACAGAGTGGCTGACTAAATACATCTGGTGCACTGTTCTTTTATCAATCATTGATAAAATAGTGCCTTTTAAATATAAACTTTGGTTGAGCTTAACCACAAAATTCAAATATGTCCGTTTACAAGACTTAAAAGCATAATTTGTCTGCTTTTTGTCTGAAGTAACAGAAATCATGGTAAAAAATTATCACACACCCACACCCATCCTTTCCAAACCCCTGTAGTATTTGATGCGCTGCAAAAATGGGTAATTAAAGCTTAGAAAAAACAGTTAAAATATTTCTAAATGATACATAAAACTTTATCCTTTAAGAATGCCATCCGGAGCTATATTCCTCCTCCTTTACTTCCTGAGTTAGGGGTTCATCTGGATGCCGGCAGGGACTGTGCTTCCAAGTGACCCAGCACGGGCACCCAGCGAGCTCAGGACAGGACAGGTACGGACCCTGACCCGCACTGCTGCAGCCGGGATGGCCCTGAC